TCATCATTACAACTTCAGACAGCTTCGATAGTCTCCACGAGTAAGCATTTGCCAAGTGACACTGAACAACCAATCATGGTAAAGCTAGTATATATTCTATGCCAAACTTTCTCTTCACATACTTCAAAACATTATAAATATCTAAATTCCGTACAACTGCAAAACTGTTAAACCTATTTCTATAAAATACAAAATAAATGAGCCAGAAAAGAATATCCTTTTCGATAACTTCCTCCTCTTCTCGCTCTACAGTTATATATATATGCATGTTTATTTATATACATAGAATATTCTAGATTAGTAGTCAGTAACAATATTAGTGTTTTTTAAATAATGTCGATTTGCAAAGTAAGATCACAATGGAATCACCACAGTTCATTAAAGATGCTTTAATAATAATAATAATAATAATAACAAAGATATAGTTGCAAATAGAATATCAACTAAAATTAGGAAAATTCCACTGCCTCCACAGGCCAGTTACATAGGCTGTACAATTAGGCGTGTTTCTCGTCGAATCTCAGAACATCACCCTCCATAGTGAGTGGTTAAGCAAAGGACAAACAAAATCTATTCGCAGCGCTATTCTATCTCATCTTGTGGATACAGAACACAAGACTGATTGATGTTAACCATGCTTTCAGGGTAATTTACCGCATATCTACGAACCTCAATTTCGCCTTAAGAGTTCCACTGCTAAATATTCCCGAGGCTGGCCAATGGATCCAGAATAACAGGCCTAATTTGTGCATCCAAAAGAAGTTGGTTGGTTCAGACATTATCCTTACCGCTTGGCTATCCAGGTTTGAATGATCCTGAATTTTAGTTGATATTCTATTTGCTACTACATCTTTGTTATAATAATAATAATAGTTATTATTATTATTATTATTTAAGCATCTTTAATCAACTGTGGTGATTCCATTGTGATCTTACTTTACAAATCGACATTATTTAAAAAGCACTCTTATACTGTTACTGACTACTAATTTAGAATATTCTGTGTATATAAACATGCAGATATATTTGTAGAGCCGGAAGAGGAATTTATCGAAACGAATATTCTTTGCTCGATTATTTCGTGTTTCATAGATGTCTGAATGAATATTTTTGCTATATTGAAATCTATTTCTAGTTAACCGCAGCACTATACAAAGCAGTGTTTTACCGCTATTTCCAATATGCTTGTGACCATCTCAAGTTCTCAGCGTTGTGAAAAAAGGTTCGACGGTTTCAGATAGTTTCAATGGCCTCATTCTACAGGCTATTTAGGTCTTTCTAGATAGTTGAACAAACCTTTCTTAATTATAATAACCCTGAGCAGGCTCACACCTTCACACTATAAGGACGTTCTGAAGATCTTGAGCTATTCAACTACCACCACTAGTTGAAGCTCAGAAATAATATCTGCTCAAGAATAATGCATTCTGATTCACAAATGGAGGACATTATGATGCCGTCACTTACAGTGGTTATCTGAATGGATGTGTTCCAATCCTTCACAGACATACATACATGACGTCACGATCTCTAAGATTCAAAAATGTTCATTCGAGTACCTAAGTATCTGCATGTCTCCACATCCCCAGTACAGTATTCTTCTTTTGGTGAGTCGTTAGAAGTACTCTGCATCAGCGTGGAGCTTCCTTTTGTGATGATGAAACAATCGTTAGCTTCTTAACACATACAAACTCTTTTTACGAGTTGATCACGGATTGACATCAGCTAGAGAACGATTGAAAACCAGAGAGTAGTGGACAGCTGTGTCATCAAACTAGGATGAGACTTTCGAGTCTGGATAATCTTCACCTCTACATACACTCACTACCCAGTAATTAACCTCATCCATCCATCCTCTCTAGGATTATAATATTATCCTACCTGCGAATGAATCTTCAGAACACATTCATTCGATAAAACAAACATATTATCTATCTTCAATCTGATTTCACCCACCCTACTCATCACCGGTTGGTTGCGTAAAACTTCGTGATATGTACAGCGGCGGAAAAAGGGAAACAAACCAGAACTTACAATTTCATCACCTTTCAGTCTTCCTGCCAGATCATTATTATCATTGACTCTGATACAGTCTGACTTGACGCGTTTTCTGGGATTCCCCGGTATAATCCAGTCTGCGCCGAAATCTTTCGGCTTTCGTCTCCGCTTCCTGTTCTCTTCACTATTTGACAGGCCCACCTATACGGAGAAAAAGCAATCACAATCAAAGAAAGCACAAAAACATACATCCTACAACTGAATTCGCATGGAAATAACGAAAAGGATTAGAATATCATCTAAGTAGAGTAGTGCAGTTGCGCACAAGATGAAAACTTATACGAAAGAGCTGATTGCCAGTCAATGAGTTTCAACACAAAACTTTGCACAGAAGTGGAGCGGTTCAAGTTGACAAACTCCACGTAGTATACAAAGATAGACAACCCAACCTAGACAGAGAAAAGACTCTCAAAAGCAGAAATGTACGGGAGAAAGACAAGGGAGGAACATGGAGTAACTAGGGGTTTAATCTGCGCGTCGGGACATCAAATCACTAAGAGTGCCTGTGCATCTGTGCCACTCACCACGATTTCCAGTCAAATCACCAATAGTCTCCAAACACCCCAACCCAGCCAGCCAGCCTACGCTCACAACTACACCTACACCTACCCCCTATGTGGCTCAAAACAACTCTCAAGGACTTCAGTGCTTGATTCCACGTTTTCACCTGGTCTGATTAACTCCTTTCCAACTCCAACTCTACTTCAGTCAGCTAACATTCCTCGGATGAACTTAAGGATCACTTCGACGGGAAACTGTCCAATGTGCTGCAGAAAGCAAAACGACGTTCAGATATAGTTGTTTTAGCAGGCAACTTCAATGCCCACCCAAGTAGGGAAGTTATGCCAGACTGAGAAGTATATAGGTGGTACATACGGAGTTCACTACCGACGAACCAACAACGGCGGTGATTGTCTTCTACAGTTCTCCTCAGATAGTCATCTGTTTGTTCCCAGTCACCAACAACTCTAGGCACAAACAGAGACACATTGTCTAACCTGGTGACCTCCATCACCAAATCAACATTGGACTCAAATAGACCACATAGCGATAAGGTATCGTTGGAGAGGGTCGGTAGAAGACTGCCACTCCCTCTGGAACATGTGCGCAGACTCTCATCACGCCCTGCCATGGTTCGCGCACGTTTATGCGGTTAAACGGACATAAAAAATTGTTGGCAGAGAAACAGTTACGTCTTCAACTAGATCGAGACACTGAGTCCCTATTTAAGTAATACGGATAGCGAAAAGAGTACCCGAGGTCGACAGCAGGACTCCTCCTGACGAAGCCTGGAACAACATACAGTTAGTTAGCTGTACACACAGATGTCAAAGCTGACAATAACCTAAAACCCAAGGTCAGTAAGACCCATTGGATTTCTACCACCTCATCCGAACTGACTGACTGACACAGAAACATTCATTCCGACGAGCTCCAAATATGATGAGGAGCAAAAGCTGCTGCTCAAGCACAAACTAACAAGAAGTTTTCGCAACGACCGTGAACAGTCGTGCTCAACAAAAGCGACGGAAGGAGATGGAAAAGGCTTCGGCGATTTGTAGCGCAAGACAACAATTTAGACTTATCACAGAAGCAGGTGGCTAAAGGCAAATCATAAGTGGAACAATCTATGACGAAAATGGCACCATAATTAGCTCCCAAGATAGACGACTCGGATGGTGGAAAGAACACTTTAAGCAGGAATTTAGAGAACAATTGTGGTTTCAATAAATTCTTCAGGCTCTACAATTATAAATCCATTAACTTAAGCATACAATAGCCAGCCAGTAAAGACAAGTTAGAATCATATCCGCTTATTTCACCTCTCGTTTGTATCAGCGGGACCACGGCTCTCAGTGACAGTATATGGCCCTTTCCACTTCGGAAGGAGTTTCCATGAACATGGTCTGCATCCAACTGTATACTTTCTTCCTCTACACACTTTACTTCATCGCCGACCTTAAGGCTTATGCATCCCATCTTTTCTCCCAGCTCAGATTTCGCGGCGTCTATCTTCTCTTTACGCTTTACATTCCTGACGGCTTCTTTCCGTTCCGTTCGCAACCACCTCATCATATTCCACTCCTGGTGAACGAAACAGGTAGTACTGTGTATTGGCAGTCTTGCATTCCTACAAAACATCAAATCAAATGGTGACTTCTTTGTTGGTTCCTGGTTGGATAGAAGCACGACGTGCTAGTAAAATCAATGGAAGGAAGATCCGACTCCCAGTTACCACTCTTCGAGGTCAACCACTCCTTCAGTGTACGGTTATTTCTCTCTGTCAAACCATTCGTTTCTGAATGATGATATGGTCTTGTTCTGGTCATCTTGATAGTCAGTTGTTACAAACGGGATGTATATGCGCTTGGCTTTCAAAACAAGGACACTGATCTACCTGCCAGTCAGTATCGTCTTTGGTACACCGTGGTCTGCAACGATGTGTCCAACTACTGCATCAGTCACAGTTCTCGCGCGTTCACCTCGGATCACGGTGGCGTTTACCCATCGTTTAGCGTGTTGCTCCATCACCAGGAGGTACTGATTGCCACTGGGTGTCTGCGGAAACGGACCCACTACGTCTACACACCAGAAGTCGCCTACTGCCGTGAATGGAATCGACTACAGAGGCGGTCGTGTGCACCGATCTTCCTTCATCAACTGGCACTGCGGACATTCAAGTACATATTTCCCCACATCTTCTATCACATCTGGCCAGTACATGCTTTGTCTCAAGAGGTCAGTTGTTCTGGCTACTTCTATATCTGCTGGCTGGTGACATTCTTGTATCACCTCATGGCGTGGAGACTGAGGTATTATCGCCAACCAGCTTCCATCGTTCTCTCGCCAAGTTACAGTTCTGTGAATGTTCACTCTTAATCGATCCCTCTGTCTCAGTAGTATAGCCGGATCCTTACTCGCCGTAGAAGTTGATTCACTTCTATTCCGTTAGTGATCTCCCGTATTACTGTATTCAGGGTAGTGTCCGACTTGTGACTGATAGCATGTCTGAATGCATCTTGTTACAATGCATCCACTCCATAAGCAATCTCCGGTAACTCAGCTTCGTCATCTCGTCTAGATAAGAAATCGGCCAAACAAGTTCCGTTGCTGGGGACGTGTGAGATGATGAAGTCATAATTTCGCAGGCTCAACATCCACCTGGACAAGTCCCCACGTGGGCCTTCCGCCATCCTCAGAAAATCTAGCGACTTGTGATCACTTTAGATGTGCAACTGTTGGCCGAGTCAATACGGTCTCCATTTCACTATGGATAAAATTTCATTTTGATAAAGTCACACAGTGTTATACAGTAATATATACTGATGACGTTTCGAGCACAATTTATTCCTCATAATCATATCAGTGCCCGAGTTTCATCCTTATAACGGTCTGCATTTGTCTACCGCCCATACATACTATTGCTAAACATTCTTTCTCTATCGTTGAATACTTTTGCTCTGTGTGTTAAAATACCACTGACATATTCGACAACTGCTTCACCCTGTCCAAGTACTACGCCTTTCCCATAGTCACTCGCATCTGTGTACACTGTGAACTGTTTTCCCGATACAGGCAGTCTTAGCGTCATTTTCCTGTCGTTTAACAGACGTTTAATACTGTCAAATGTCTTCTGCGAATCTTCCGACCACACAAACTTCAACTCATCATCTAATAGTCTGTACACCGGGTCTGCTATCTTGTTGAAGTTTGCACAAATCGACTATAAAATGCAGCTCTCCCGACGAACTGTCCTAGCATTCTCTTGGAATCCGGGCCCGTAATGGTCTTTATCGACAAGATTTTCTCCGCTAGCGGTTTTATCTCACCGTTCCCCACTCCTCTATCACCCAACACGGTAACACTCCGTTTGGCTATCTGAGATTTTGTCCTGTCGGTGAGCAGTCCAAACTCTTCAATGACTTTTAACACGGCTTCAACATGGCTTACATGATCGCTTTCGTTTTGACTGCAGATGAACAGGTCATCACCGTACACCTCCACATTCTTCAACTTTCTGATCAACAACCTAACGACTCCTCTGAAGGCAAACAGTACACCTGCTAGTCGTCCAAATACCATGTGTTTAAACCGATATTCTTTCTGACCCATGCGATGAACGCCGTCTTATCTCTGTCGCTCTGCTTTATCCGTATCTGACAATATCGTGACCGGAGGTCAAGCACTGTGAAAAATTCGCGCCTTGTATACAATACACGCTATCTACTACAGCTGGCATGCCACACACGGTCTCAGCTCTGTCATGCTGTTTAGCTATCAGAAATCCATGCAGGGTCTCTAATTCCCATCTCCTTTGTTCACTAAAACAACTGGATAGTTATACGGGCTGTCAGCTTCTTTTTCTCTAATACCATCCTGCAAAGTCTCCTCAATTTAAATGTCTCTCTACCTCACACCCATAAATATCACCTCCACGATTTCACGAGTAGTTGAATCGATTGAAAACAATCAAATCAGTCAGTATTTACTCCCTAATAACACATTTAGGCTTAAGCATTTCAAACAAAGAGTACTGGGTACCAGTCACAATGACAACACCACACACAACCACTCACAGGAGATTATTGCAGGTACATCCCGTTGGCAACTCCCGTACCAAAAACATTCAAGTGCCATCCATCAAATTACACACTTTTAAGTCCGGATAATCTTCACCTCTACATACACTCACTACCCAGTAATTAACCTCATCCATCCATCCTCTCTAGGATTATAATATTATCCTACCTGCGAATGAATCTTCAGAACACATTCATTCGATAAAACAAACATATTATCTATCTTCAATCTGATTTCACCCACCCTACTCATCACCGGTTGGTTGCGTAAAACTTCGTGATATGTACAGCGGCGGAAAAAGGGAAACAAACCAGAACTTACAATTTCATCTGTGGGGGGGAGTTGCCTTGCTGTCTCTTCATTAATGTCATTAGGTCTGACCTGAAAAAAGGAAAGAGACGAAGAAGATGCAAACGTCAGTACCCAGGGATCATCATTACAACTTCAGACAGCTTCGATAGTCTCCACGAGTAAGCATTTGCCAAGTGACACTGAACAACCAATCATGGTAAAGCTAGTATATATTCTATGCCAAACTTTCTCTTCACATACTTCAAAACATTATAAATATCTAAATTCCGTACAACTGCAAAACTGTTAAACCTATTTCTATAAAATACAAAATAAATGAGCCAGAAAAGAATATCCTTTTCGATAACTTCCTCCTCTTCTCGCTCTACAGTTATATATATATATATGCATGTTTATTTATATACATAGAATATTCTAGATTAGTAGTCAGTAACAATATTAGTGTTTTTTAAATAATGTCGATTTGCAAAGTAAGATCACAATGGAATCACCACAGTTCATTAAAGATGCTTTAATAATAATAATAATAATAATAACAAAGATATAGTTGCAAATAGAATATCAACTAAAATTAGGAAAATTCCACTGCCTCCACAGGCCAGTTACATAGGCTGTACAATTAGGCGTGTTTCTCGTCGAATCTCAGAACATCACCCTCCATAGTGAGTGGTTAAGCAAAGGACAAACAAAATCTATTCGCAGCGCTATTCTATCTCATCTTGTGGATACAGAACACAAGACTGATTGATGTTAACCATGCTTTCAGGGTAATTTACCGCATATCTACGAACCTCAATTTCGCCTTAAGAGTTCCACTGCTAAATATTCCCGAGGCTGGCCAATGGATCCAGAATAACAGGCCTAATTTGTGCATCCAAAAGAAGTTGGTTGGTTCAGACATTATCCTTACCGCTTGGCTATCCAGGTTTGAATGATCCTGAATTTTAGTTGATATTCTATTTGCTACTACATCTTTGTTATAATAATAATAATAGTTATTATTATTATTATTATTTAAGCATCTTTAATCAACTGTGGTGATTCCATTGTGATCTTACTTTACAAATCGACATTATTTAAAAAGCACTCTTATACTGTTACTGACTACTAATTTAGAATATTCTGTGTATATAAACATGCAGATATATTTGTAGAGCCGGAAGAGGAATTTATCGAAGCGAATATTCTTTGCTCGATTATTTCGTGTTTCATAGATGTCTGAATGAATATTTTTGCTATATTGAAATCTATTTCTAGTTAACCGCAGCACTAGACAAAGCAGTGTTTTACCGCTATTTCCAATATGCTTGTGACCATCTCAAGTTCTCAGCGTTGTGAAAAAAGGTTCGACGGTTTCAGATAGTTTCAATGGCCTCATTCTACAGGCTATTTAGGTCTTTCTAGATAGTTGAACAAACCTTTCTTAATTATAATAACCCTGAGCAGGCTCACACCTTCACACTATAAGGACGTTCTGAAGATCTTGAGCTATTCAACTACCACCACTAGTTGAAGCTCAGAAATAATATCTGCTCAAGAATAATGCATTCTGATTCACAAATGGAGGACATTATGATGCCGTCACTTACAGTGGTTATCTGAATGGATGTGTTCCAATCCTTCACAGACATACATACATGACGTCACGATCTCTAAGATTCAAAAATGTTCATTCGAGTACCTAAGTATCTGCATGTCTCCACATCCCCAGTACAGTATTCTTCTTTTGGTGAGTCGTTAGAAGTACTCTGCATCAGCGTGGAGCTTCCTTTTGTGATGATGAAACAATCGTTAGCTTCTTAACACATACAAACTCTTTTTACGAGTTGATCACGGATTGACATCAGCTAGAGAACGATTGAAAACCAGAGAGTAGTGGACAGCTGTGTCATCAAACTAGGATGAGACTTTCGAGTCTGGATAATCTTCACCTCTACATACACTCACTACCCAGTAATTAACCTCATCCATCCATCCTCTCTAGGATTATAATATTATCCTACCTGCGAATGAATCTTCAGAACACATTCATTCGATAAAACAAACATATTATCTATCTTCAATCTGATTTCACCCACCCTACTCATCACCGGTTGGTTGCGTAAAACTTCGTGATATGTACAGCGGCGGAAAAAGGGAAACAAACCAGAACTTACAATTTCATCACCTTTCAGTCTTCCTGCCAGATCATTATTATCATTGACTCTGATACAGTCTGACTTGACGCGTTTTCTGGGATTCCCCGGTATAATCCAGTCTGCGCCGAAATCTTTCGGCTTTCGTCTCCGCTTCCTGTTCTCTTCACTATTTGACAGGCCCACCTATATGGAGAAAAAGCAATCACAATCAAAGAAAGCACAAACACATACATCACACAACTTAATTCACGTGTAAATATAATTATTTAGAGAATGATTATTTTATTATTTTTGTTAGCACTCCGTCTCTAATTACATGTCATCTTTTTAAAATAATTTTATTCTAATTGCCACTTCAGTTTCACTTAGAAGTTATCATTGTGGAAAGCGGTTTGCTTTCTTGGAGAATCTGTTATGTAATAAACCTGTGCATACGCTTGTTTCTTACTTAGTCGGGATTTTTCCAAAATCATGCATTACGTAATCCATGTGTTGCAAGGATTTCTACATTTAAAAAGTATGCATTAATTTACTTCGTTAATTATCACCCCATTGACACGTTGATACTGCCTAGTGATTGTTAACAAACATACCAGTGCCGCTTGATTGGTAAATTGTTGTGTATTCTAATAAAGATGCTATCTATACATATATTAGAGTACAGCCAGACATCAGTATCTAATTGAACGGTAATTATTTCTTTGCTCAATGCTTCTGCTTTCCAAACATAGAATTTGGTAGAGTCCAGTCATTGATTACCCAAATATACAAGAAAGGAAGACAAGTACTGCTGTGATAATCACACGGCGATTAACGTGACTAATATGGTGGCATCTAAAGTTCTAGGCTCAATAATAATGCCTCCAATACTAAGTGGTGCTCTGGAGGCACAAACACGAGAGAATCAGAGTGGGTTTAGACCAGGAAGAGGGTGTATTGATCAGATCTTCACCCTCAGACAGATTCTGGAACAGAACATAGGCATACTTACTGTTGGCATCCAACAATGGGCATATTTCTTGACCTGAAATAAGCATTCGAATCCGTTGACCAAGATGTACCATGCCGATGTTTGGCTGTGAAGGAAATACTGAGAAAATACGCCGCACTGATCTAGGCACTCATTCTACTCGAACTCATGCAGTCAGCCAGGTAAGAGCCTATGGAGATTTGTCATCTGATAACTGTGGTGACAACCACTGATGTCACCAACCATCAGGGATGCCAACTTCTGTTTAATTCTACATCATACAGGTACTAATGGAATTAACCCTAACTGACTTCAGAGACTCAGACATTGACTTGTTACCAGGGGATAATATCACCGACTTAGAATATGCAGATGACGAAGTCCTGCTCCTAGGTGAAGGCGATGACAAAATACAGCAGAGTCTTCTGAACACCTTGAGGTGCAATCTACGAATGTTTGCCATGCGATTCGCTCCCGCTGTCAAATGTAAGATGATGTTACAGGACTGGACTACACTGACTCCTACCTTAAAGATAGGGAGTGAAGTGGTTGGTGGAGTGTGTTGACCACCTCTTAGTCGTGGCATAACCAAAACGTGGCTTCATCAGTCAATGAAATCCACAACAGTTAGTTTAAGCCAGCCAGCCAGCCAGTCACGTAGGAAGGTGTAGACTGGCTTCCTGACTGGTTTTAGTTCTCGGGATGGTAAAAACCAATGGCTCGAGACAATTGGTAATATGGTCAAACATCGTTTTCAATGACGCAGATGCATTTACTCCTTGTGACTTATAATATTCAACAAAACTATAAGGTTCCTCGATATTACTATTCTTTTCTGCCTCATATCTCTGTTTACTGTCTCTGTTTTTGCACTCCTTTTTACTGTCTTCTCTTGCTTTGTGTGCTGAATGTAGTGTGGAGACTCGAACTGCTGCACATCGGTGCAAAGTTCTACGTTGAAACCAGTCAGTCTATATTTCGGCATACATACACACACACACACACACAATCATGCCTATCCAGGTCTAGACGTCTTTCATTCTGGACTAAATCGAATGCTTCGGAATTAGTAATTCCCAAGAAGATATTGCACTCAAACATGTTTTTAGTGTGAAAAATAGACGCACACTCAATCGGAAACCGAATGCATTCAGTGAAGACAACCCCCCTCTTTGGAAAGGCAGAAAGACTGAATCTATCTACTGAACACACAAATTAACCACCACTTCATGTCTCTCTCCCTCTACGTAAGAATCCTAGTGGAACTTACATTTAACGCAATACACTACTGAATAATGAATTAAGTATCTTGTGAATAGGTCTCTTACTTTCCAGTCAGTCCCATTAGGAAAAATTCTCACATCAATTATGTTTACCGCACTGAAACACCACCTGTGTGTGTAAATCTTTATTGTGATTATTATTATTATTATTATTATAAAGGAGGAAATGGCCAATCAGTGCGCTCTAAAGGATAGGCTATTCGTTCGAAAAACATGATTAAGGTATTCCCATATTTACACCATTCACGTCTCCACATAATCATCATATATTATTAAAGAGTGACCCGACGTAACCTTCTCCATCACATCACCATCATTAATACACATTCATGACATACGTTCCATCCTCACCTACTTTACCACCAAGACCCACTCTACAACTCGCCTCTAAGAAACACGTGTACATCAAGCTACCCTATATGGGCGAGGCATCATAGCAGCTTGATAACTAGACAAAGACTGAACGCTGCTGTTAAAAAGACTTTTTATGCAGCTAATATCATAATAATTGAGAATGTGAAGCCAATATATCCATTCATCTAAGCCCTTTGAACATGCGAAAAATGATATCACATCACACTGTATTTACCAATTTGAATGTACGTGTGGCCACACACACACACAAACATACATAAGGAGGACTCATTGATCTCTGCAAGTAAGGACTGGCTTCAGATCATATCCCTGAATGACTACAGAAACAAATGGAATCTTCCGAACCCATTAATGGTGAGAACAGGAGAACTAGATCCTCTATTGCGAAACATATTACACAGGAGACAGGACATAAAATTGACGTTAACACATCTTTTAAACCTATCTATAAACGCGTGTTTGGGTGACGGCGTATCCTAAAGTTTGTGGAAGCCCCAGCTGGTAGTTAGAAAGTTTAAACCACCTTTATGCGTTCAAAGCAGCAATTCGTCATCACATTAAACCTTCCTTGGTAAACTTTGTTTTGATACCATAGCAGATGTACTATTACCTCTGCTATTTGGTTTAGCCATTCATCTTCATTCTTATTTTGATATTCAATATGTCCTCCTTTTAACTTGACCTAAGTAGTCTATTTTCTCACCCACCTCTTAACTCTTTATTATTTCCACAAATGTCTATTCCTATGACAAGTCTGTGTGTGATCAGATTGTTCGAAATGTGTTGCGCAAATATGCACATTACACACACGATTCAGCCAAATTACGTCTTCTTACTGCTTCATCTGGACTTATTCTTCGCTTAAATCGGAGGCACAATTATGACACAACGGGTTGCTGAAAGCCTTCAGGAAGCCAGTCAACCAGTCTGTGGGCCAACAAATACCCTGATGACACTGTTCAGTTGACCAGCCCGATCTACATGAGGAGGGACTTTGAAACCTGCATCTAGTGGCTAGAAGTCGGGTGCTTAAGTCATTAAGTCACATCTTCCCGAAGGAGATAAAACCATTTCACATCAGAGTATGAAATCTGATGTGGAATAAACAATTAAGCGATAGGAGAAATACAACTTCCACAAAATATGCTCAACAATAAGAGAAATATATTCAACTCACATTTGTCCTTAAGACCTCAGAATCACAATGCGGCGATACCAATGGATCAACATGATTGCTGGGTAGAAGCTTTTGAGATCTCAAGTTTTTCACCTCCGTCTCATTGATGGACACTTGACGTCTTCGTAAGCTAGTGAAAATGTTTAATGATAATATACACATCAGAATTATAATTCACGATTACATCATCGGCTGAAAATCATGCCAAAATTGTATAATAAAACAAAGTGAGGAAAACACGAGAGAAATACATTCATATTCTAATTTATAATGTCCTTCAGGACAGTTCTGTCTAGGGGGACGACAATTCTTCAGCAGTACACATCCATAACCCCACCGAGGACTGACTGCATGCACAACCTTCAGACTACGAAGCCAGCTCGTTGGTCAGACCATTCGGTCACTGACTAGGCAAGGAATCCAATGGTCCATGAATTCTAACTTCTTCTGTTCATTCACTATTTTTTCAACCAACTGATCGATCTCAATCCGTCATCCAAATTGACACCAATCAAATCTTCACAAATTAACACTTCACTCCACAATCCGCTCCGTCCTCCTTTATGGCTGGCTGGCTGGCTGGCTCTGAGACATGGCCATTGAAAGTGGAAGACATGGACAGGTTGCCTAGCTCTGTCTTTGATCAGAGGTGTCTGTGTTCTATCTCCCATGTTAAGTGGCATAACAACGTGAGCAATATTGAGGCTAGCCGTTGATTATTAATTAGGTGAGGAGGGGAAATCAATTGGTGACGTGGTGTGAAGTTACATCAATTGATGTGGTTAGGACATGTGTTGCGCGCATGCATCCCTAGCCACAACAGTTAGTTTAAGCCAGCCAGTCGCATAGGAAGGTGTATACTTCCCGGTTTGAGTCCTCAAGATAGTAAAAACCAATGGCTGGAGACAATCGCTAGCATGGCTTAAAATCGTTCCCAATGGCGCAGATGCATTTACTCCTTGTGATTCATAATATCCTATAAAAATCTACTGTTCTTTCATATTGCCTACCATTCTTCTTCCCTCACACTTCTGTTTATTATCACTCCTTAATCTCTTGTCTTGCTTTGTATGATACGTGGAGTGTGGCAACTCGAACGACTGCACATCTGTGCAAAGGAGTTCTACGTTCAAACCAGTCGGTCAGTCAGTCAGTCAGTCAGTCGACACTTCGAAGTGAAAATTAACAATTTGACAGGAGCAAGAGAATCTTCAGAGCAGCAGAATATTTTATTTATTTCACCTGTACACTCATTGGTCGAGTATGCTCGCCTAATTACATGCAATAATATCATGTCATCGTAAAATATCACGCACATGTTAATCAATCGGTAGTGCATTGATGTCTACAAAAGTCAGTCAATGAAATCTTCACAATTTGAACCCCACCTAGGAACTCAGACACAATACACAATTGCACCAAAACAAAAGTTTCTATACACACACACACACACCGAACCAGTGGCAGTACTTTATCTGATCCAAGGTAGTCATTATATCACAGTGTTAACGTCAAATAATGGTAACATGAAAGATATTTATCTATCAATGGGGAAGGCAAACAAAATAATCTCACCGATAAACTTCATTTGTAGTACGGCAGAAAATCTCATATGGACTGTCAGGATCACTCAGGTGAGCCCGGATAACACAATTACCCCAATAAGCATTATCATTCTTTATTTGAGCACTAACCTAGTGTACGAAATGAAAAGGGACAAAAAAGAAAAAGATAAAAAGTTGTCATGTGAAAATAACCCCTTCGTAAGTAAACAAGTACAAGCAGCAAAAACAGATTAGACCACATATCAAACATATCAAAGTCAATGGCAACTACTTTGATGCTTGTAAAAACACGACTCCCTTACAACTTCTCAACAATAATCTGCAACTGTGAATTCAACAAAAAAGGCAAGGAAGCTTGAAAAATACCCACCTACAACGTGACATGCATACACAAGCAGATTTACAACTAGGTGGAATGCACAGTCAGTCAGTAAGTCAGCTGTATGGGGCGAGGTATGAATCATGAATGAATACAAATTATCCAAAGAATAAAAGGAACACTACAAATTGACGATTCCATGTAGACGACGAAATGGAGGGAACACGCGCTGCGCTGGCAAACACTGTGTGCCTCAGACTTCAGTTCATTGCAACTTCATCATATTCATCCTTCCATTATGTGGTAGTGGTGCATGACGAGTATGATAATCCTCTTATGCATATAATCAAACAGTGCTTACGTGAAGACCACATGTGTGTGTTTGTGAAATGGAAACTGCAAACTCACCTACCTGACAGCAGTCAAAAGCCCTCCCGACTACTAATGCAACCTGCTGGTAATGAAGAGAGTAGTATCACTAATACCACCTGTCAAGCAGCCACTACACCGATTAACAACTGAAAAACGTGTCTGAAACGCTGATCAAACCATTATCATCGAAGTAGCCACGCTGATCTTAAGGGATAGTCATAGTTACTCTCAACCTAAGTCCTCTATATAAAGCTGTCATCCACCCGAATTACAAAGCGGAGGCCCAGAAAGGAATTCCAACCACTCAAGAGCTATTAACCACCAAACCAAGACAACTCATCGCCTGCATCACTTGCTACATGGGAAAAGCAAATGTGGTAGAATACATAGATACTAAGCACCTAGCGCAGACATTTTAGTATATTCGGCATGTGATTCGTCTCTGAGAAATTTAAGATAACCAACGTTGCAGGACTGGTCTCCACCAATCGGGGGCTAACGATATTTTATCACACAAATACCCGTTCACACTGAGTCGTATTGGCTGGAGCAACATAACTAGCGATTATGTGAGGTTAGGCATGGAGGATTACGTAAGGGAGCGAAAACCAATTGATGACGAAGCTACATTGATCGAGGTGGATAGGCGTATCGTCATGCTGCCAAGTCATCGCCTTCATAGTCCGACAACACCAGTTGAAATGGGATTACGCGTTAGAAAACAGTTTGGCATGGTCAAATCAAACCGATGCATCAATCCATGAAGACGACTTCAACTATTAGCTTGAGTCAGGCAGTATGATGCAGATTGTCAGGCAGAGGTCCTGCTAACTCCCTCTGCACAAAGATCATTAAGTCGAAAATTCAGTCAGTCACCAGTGATAGCCTTGATAACGCTCTTATTATTTATCTGCTTCAATCAAGTCATTCTTAACAACCACTATACTGCTTGCTCCTGTCAAATTTTCAAATGTAACACCACTGTAGGACGGAGAGTGCAATAAAACTCATTCATCTCAATGTATTGCCCGTTTGAAAAGAAATCTCTGTGTGTTTCTGGAACATGTTCAAAGCAGTTGGTGGCCAAAAAGTCAAATGTACTGCATGTTTTATGCTAACTTCTTCAGGCATAAAAGTGCAGATGACAAATGCGCCATCAATACTCTTTACTCTCTATTTTTACTCAAACGTTTCTCTTGTAACTTTCAACAACACGCAACTTAACAAGATATCTTTCTTCATTTGCTTCAAGTCAATTTCGATTTCTCCGTTGATTGGATATACATTTCATCCTACTTCGGAGTACTCACTAGTGTTCAATCAAAAATATACCAATCAATATGCTCGCCTTAGAAGCAGTTAAAAAAGAACTAACTGCAGATCCTGAACTCACTTACTCACAGGACAAAGCTGCTCATTGAAGAAATTATTTTAGCAATTCAGTTATGCCTCACATCTACTATCTTTAAATTTCAAGGCAAAATATATAGACAAGCAGAAGGTGTAGCAATGGGATGCATCACCAATATTGTCTAGCGTAGCAGATATATTTATGGATAGTTGGGAAAATATTGCTCTTAATACATTCAACTAATCCCACTCCAAAAATATGGTGGAGATATGTGGATGACACTTTCACACACAGTGTTAAAAACACAACATATCTCTCTCTAGCTTCTTGACACATATAAACTCACTAGTAGAGGGAATAAAATTCACATTTGAATCGCAAAATAAACAAGGAGAATTAGCTGTGATGTTAGAGTGTAAAATAAAACGAATAGAAGAGGCTAAACTGCACACAAGTGTTTATAAAACACCAACGCATTCTGCTGATAAACTTTAATTCATCTCATCCGTAGTTATCTGTTAAGGCAGGCTTAGTTGACTTAAGTGTCTAACAAACCGAGCAGTAGCACCAAGTAGTACAAGAAAAGACCTAAATGATGAAATAAAACAGACAGAAGAAGAAGAAGAAGTAGTGTTGGTGTCAAATAACTAACTATCCTATGAAATTCACTAGGAAGATCAGAAAAAGTGAAAAGCAAAATAAAAATAGTAGGGAAACTAATAATGATAACATAAATAAGAGAGAATATAAGGCGTCTACAGCAGTTTTACCATATAAGGAGGGGACATCTCAGACATTCCCTACGTAGGATTCTCAATAGAGCAGGAATTAGAGTGGTGGCATTCAAACCTACAAACTCACTCAGCTAGGACAAGCTCTGTAGGTTAAAGGACCCTGTCGGTTGACCCTATTAGACAAAATAATA